ACAATCAGTAATATAATATATTATAACAGACAAACATTGTAAAAGTTTTTTTGAACAAAAAGATAAACGTAATCAATGTTGTTTTGGGTGTTTTCAAGTGAAACCCAACAAATATCGTGATTATCATAAACACAATAAAATTTACAAATGCTGTTCTGTAGGTTTAAATTCACATGTTTACCCTTCTATTTGTTATTATTTAATTAATTATTATATTAGTTTTTTTCAATAACAAAAAATAATAATAACAATAAATTATTACATTAATATATCATAATTAATGGTATTAAAAATGTTATTTAATCAAACAAAAGAACTAAATGTTTCAAAACCTTTCGATAAAAAAGGACAAAAAGGTCAAATTGTAACGAGAAAAGAAAAAGGACCATCTTCTGTGTATTTTCTTGACAAGATTTACAAAAAGAAACGAAACGCGAAGCTGATTGAAGCTTTCAAAAAAATTATGAAGAAGTAACAGTTAATCCACAAACATTTCAATCACTCACACAACAAATTGAATTTGTAAATAATATTATTACTCCTTTTTATGAAAAAACCTGGTATTATTGTGGATGTTGCAGATTTTCTTGCAGTTGGGGAAAGTACAGTATGTTATTTGTTAAAAAGGAAAAACATTCCAAAGAAAAAAGTGGGTCGCCTGAAATTATTTACTTGTGAAGAAATCGATTGAATTGAAGCCGAAATAACAAAAACCAACAACTGAAATGTTTTACTTTTATTGATTTACAACAGTTTATTCAGACAAAAACCAACAAAAGTTTGACAATAAAACAATTACAAGATTTTATTAGAAATGATACTAGTCTTTCAACAGAAATAGGTGTTGTGATGGAAGACACTAGAACATTTTTGAACAAAGACAGTTTAATCGAGAAAGTCGAAATCGCGACAAAAATGTTAAGCAGTGGGAAAGCGAATACCAGGAAAACTGCTTTGTTTAAAACGTTAGATGGTGTAGACCCTTCTCTTATTCTCAACATTGATGAGTGTGGGTTTATCCTATTTGTCGACACAACAAGCGAGTAAATTATTTTTAATAACACACAAAGTCATAAAAAATGGATTTCCATTGATCGGGGAGTCAAGAGAATAACACATTTGGGTGGTATTTGGTGTGACCGAACTACCACAGAACCACTTTTGATTATCCCAAGGAAAACAATTGACGATGATTTACACGACTACATGGAAATGAAAACCAAACATTTTTATTACCAACCAAAAGGATTTGTTACAAAAGACTTCTTTATGTTTTGGTTGGAAACTATATTGGCACCAGATTTAGAAAAAAGAAGAAACTTTCTGGGTTAGAAAAAAGCTTGGGCGGTTGTTGTACAAGATGGATTTGGGCCACATTTTAATGAAAAAACCAAATTGTGGTTTTTAAAACACAAAGTCCTTGTTCTAAAATTATGTCCTCACTCAAATCGTCTCACTCAGCCTTTGGACTTGGTTGTTTTTGCAGCCAATAAAGTTTGTTTTACTCGATTTGATTTTTAATATGTTTTTAAACATTGTGATAATATTTATAATAATAAACAAATATTATAATACTGTATCATTCTATACTATATTAAACAATTAAATACTATAATATCATTATATTTAATTTGATATTTACTATAATTTATAATACAATTAATTGTTTTTATAATTATATTTTATTGGTTAAAAAATTATATGTAGAAATTGGTGAAAATTCCATATTTAGATAATTTATGGGAAAAGGAAATGGGAAACGAAGTGGAGAGTGATGAAGTTGTGCTTTATATCAGGGTCCTCCTTTCTAAATATAAGTGGCATGATTTATTTCTAATTATAAAGAGGTAAAAAAAATAATAAAAAAAGCACTTTAAAATAAAAATATACTAGAAAAAACAAAATATGCTTTTTTTACCAAATACATCTATTTCTCCCAAACACTTCTTAATATGTTATAATATATACAACTATATTATAGATACAATTTGATGACGTTAATTTTTTAATTGTAAATATAATTAAAACCCAAATTGTTATTTTGAACTTTTTAATAACAACATGTTTACACTAAATGTCCCAATTGAGATGAAAAAAACTATATGGGATGAAAGTTTAATTGAAGTACTCGACAAAAGCAGAAGATTATTATGTTGTAAAGTTTGTGGGTATTTCCCAAACAAAAATGATGCTTCCGAACATTACGTGACACATCATGAATGTCAAAATGTGTAAATTAGAAAAATAGTTGAAATGCATACAATACGGGTCAATAAGCCGGTCACTACAAATCATTCGGAATAGTAACACCACAACCACACACTAAAAAAGTTGTGATAAAAGTTTAGTTGATGGAGTAAGAAAACTCACACATGAATTGGCAATGTTGTTTGCTGCCAATAACATAGTATCAAAATATCACATGTTAAAAGATATTATATCTATGTGTGCTGACTCGATTAAGCAGTATGGCATTGAAGTACTTGAAAAGGTACGTTCAAGTCATCAAATATTAACAAAAAGAGTAAGCGAATTCTCAAATAGTTGTATTGTTATAAAAAAATTATAATTATTAAATAAATTTTTAATAAATAAAAAATTGTGTTGTTATTTTAGTTTTATATTATATTGATAATAATTAAGTAGTTTTTGATTGTAAAAAAAGGATTTAAAAACAGTTGAAGTTTTTTTATTTAAAAGCAAAAGTTGTCCTGTAATAATTAATTGTTTTAAGTAAAAAAAATTACATTCTATTAACACGTGTCATTTTTTGTTGATGTGGTGAAACGTGGTGGCTGGTTTTTTGAAAAAGGAGGACCCTGTTGATGTGGTTAAAAAAAAAGTCGGAAAATCCAAAAAAACTTCGGGGATTTACAACAACCTTTTATCAAAAGACGTAATTACCAAAAGAACTGCCCTTAAAATTTGCACATCGGGAATGACAAAACTTATCATGTCAATTATAACTTCTTGGCAAAAATCTGCTACCGAGTTAAATATAATTTCCGCTTTTAAATGTTGTGGATTTGTTAAAAACTGTAATAACATGATCGTTTTT